CCCGAAATGTCACCCTGAACCCCAAAATATACTTTGGGGGGGTCAGGCACCCCAAAACAGCCCCCAGACACCCCGAAATATCCCCCAGTGGCCCTAAAGTATCCTCCTGCACCCCAAAATATCCCCCAGGGTACTCCCAGTGCTCCCAGTATCCCAAACCAGCAGGTTCTTGTTCTTCAGCTCCTCCACTGGATTTTGGGCTGTCCCGAGGTGGTTTGGGGGGTTCAGACACCCCAAAATATCGCCCAGAGCCCCAAAATACCACCCAGTCCCCATCCCAGTGCTCCCAGTCCATCCAATCCCATTCCCAGTCCATCCCAGTCCCTCCCAGTGCTCCCAGTCTGACCTGCTGGCGCAGCACCTCGTTGTCCATCTGCAGCTGGTCCAGCCCTGATCCCACTGATCCCAATGACCCCAATCCCACCCCAATGACCCCAATCCCATCCCAGCCCCATTCCCATGACTCCAGTCCCATTCCCAGCCCCATTCCCCTCCCAGTCTCACCTGCTGGCGCAGCACTTCATTGTCCATCTGCAGCTGGTCCAGCCCTGATCCCACTGATCCCAATGACCCCAGTCCCATCCCATGACCCCAATCCCATTCCCATGACCCCAATCCCATCCCAGCCCCATTCCCAGTTTCCCCCAGTCCATCCCAGTCCCTCCCAGCGCTCCCAGTCTCACCTGCTGGCGCAGCACCTCGTTGTCCATCTGCAGCTGGTCCAGCCCTGATCCCACTGATCCCAATGACCCCAGTCCCATCCCAATGACCCCAATCCCATTCCCAGTCCATCCAAACCCCATTCCCAGCCCCATTCCCAGTCCCTCCCAGTGCTCCCAGTCTGACCTGCTGGCGCAGCACCTCGTTGTCCATCTGCAGCTGCTCCAGGCCCATCGACCCCATCGATCCCAATGACCCCAATGCCATCCCAGTCACCCCAATCCCACCCCAATGACCCCAATGGGAATGGGAACGGGGAATGGGAACAGGATTCCCAGTGGGAATGGGAATGGGGAATGGGGCCACTGGGAATTCGGGTGGCCCACGGGAATCGGGGTGGTCCCCAGGATGACCCGTAGGATCAGGATGAGCCTTTGGGATAGGGATGGCCCCTCAGGAATGGGGGTGTCCCTTTGGGATTGGGGTGTCCCTTTGGGGCCGGGGTGCCCCTTTAGGATCAGGGTGTCCCTCAGGACTGGAGTGTCCCTTTGGGATCGGGGTGCCCCTTTGGGATTGGGGTGTCCTTTGGGATCGGGGTGTCCCTTTGGGATCGGGGTGTCCTTTGGGATCGGGGTGTCCCTTTGGGATCGGGGTGTCCTTTGGGATCGGGGTGTCCCTTTGGGATCGGGGTGTCCTTTGGGATCGGGGTGTCCCTTTGGGATCGGGGTGTCCTTTGGGATCGGGGTGTCCCTTTGGGATTGGGGTGTCCCTTTGGGGCCGGGGTGCCCCTTTAGGATCAGGGTGTCCCTCAGGACTGGAGTGTCCCTTTGGGATCGGGGTGTCCCTTTAGGAGCGGGGTGTCCCTCAGGGTGTCCCTTTAGGATCGGAGTGTGCCTTTAGGATCGGGGTGTCCCTTTGGGATTGGGGTGTCCCTTTAGGACCGGGGTGTCCCTTTGGGGTCGGGGTGTCCCTCAGGGTCAGGGTGTCCCTCAGGGCCGGGGTGTCCCTCAGGGCCGGGGTGTCCTTTAGGATCGAGGTGTCCCTTTGGGGTCGGGGTGCCCCTTTGGGATTGGGGTGTCCCTTTGGGATCGGGGTGTCCTTTAGGATCGGGGTGTCCTTTGGGGTCAGGGTGTCCCTTTGGGGTCGGGGTGCCCCTTTGGGGTCAGGGTGTCCCTTTGGGGTCGGGGTGCCCCTTTGGGATCGGGGCGTCCCTTTGGGGTCGGGGTGTCCCTCAGGGCCGGGGTGTCCCTCAGGGCCGGGGTCCCGGCTGTCCCGGTACCTTCGTTGTGCTGTGCCCGGCGCTTCTCGTCCCGCGTGGCTCGGGGAGCCTCCGACTTCCTGGGGAGGGGCACAGGTGGGCACAGGTGTGTTTGGGTGTGTCCAGGTGTGCCCCAGGTGTGACATGGGTGACTGAGTGTGTCCCCGTGTGACCTGGGCGTGCCCCAGGTGTGCCCAGATGTGTCTGGGTGTGCCCCAGGTGTGCCCAGGTGTGTCTGGGTGTGCCTGGGTGTGCCCAGGTGTGCCCCAGATGTGTCTGGGTGTGCCCCAGGCGTGCCCCAGATGTGTCTGGGTGTGCCTCAGGTGTGCCCAGGTGTGTCTGGGTGTGCCTGGGTGTGCCCAGTTGTGTCTGGGTGTGCCCAGGTACTCACGGGGAGTAGGGGTGTGCGCGGGGGGCGATGGAGCGCTGGGCCCCCCCCGGGAGCACCTCCTGTGGTGACATCATCACGAAAAACTGCCCTGGAGCCCAGAGCCACAGGTGAGAGCCCAAAACCCACAGGTGAGAGCCCAAAACCCACAGGTGAGAGCCCAACCCCACAGGGGAGAGCCCAAAACCCACAGGGGAGAGCCCAAAACCCACAGGTGAGAGCCCAACCCCACAGGTGAGAGCCCAACCCCACAGGTGAGAGCCCAACCCCACAGGTGAGAGCCCAAAACCCACAGGTGAAAGCTCACTATCACAGGTGAGATGCAAACACCCACAGGTGAGACCCCAAATGCATCCACCCAAGTGATCCCAAACCCACGCAGGTGCCCTCAAGCCCATCCAGGTGAGTCCCATCCCAACTTAGGTGACCCCAAACTGGCCCAGGTGACCCCAAATCCATCCAGGTGAGTCCCAACCCAACCCAGGTGCCCCCAAACCTACCCAGATGACCCCAAACCCTGTCCAGGTGCCCCCAAACCCATCCCAGATGCCCCCAAATTGACCCAGGTGACCCCCAAACCCAACCCAGGTGACCCCAAACCCCCCCCAGGTACGCCCAAAGTGACCCAGGTGAGCCCCAATTCAGTTCAGTGACCCCAAATCCAACCCAGGTGCCCCCAAACCCATCCAGGTGACCCAAACCCACCCACGGACTGGGCAAGGCACAGGCGGGGTGGGGACAGTGGGTGTGGCAGTGGGCGTGGCCAGGTGACGCACCTGTGTCATGGACTGTGTGGCCGGGTAGCCGCTGATGGCGCTGGTGCCCTCGGTCTGCGCGTCCAGCTGCCCGTCAGCCACCTGGATCACCCGGTACATCACCTGGGGACAGGGGGGACATAGGTGTGACAGTGACCCCAAACCCCCGTGTCACCACCTGATCACCCGGTACATCACCTGGGGACGGGGGGGACACAGGTGTGACAGTGACCCCAAACCCCCGTGTCACCACCTGATCACCCGGTACATCACCTGGGGACAGGGGGGACACAGGTGTGACACAGAGACCCCCAGAGCCACCCCGTGTCACCACCTGATCACCCAGTACATCACCTGGGGACAGGTGTGACAGTGACCCCAAACCCCCGTGTCACCACCTGATCACCAGGTACATCACCTGGCACAGGTGGGACACAGGTGTGACAGTGACCCCAAACCCCCGTGTCACCACCTGATCACCAGGTACATCACCTGGCACAGGTGACACACCCACACAGGTGTGACAGTGACCCCAAACTCCTGTGTCACCACCTGATCACCAGGTACATCACCTGGCACAGGTGTGACACAGGTGTGACAATGACCCTAAACCCCCAGTGTCCCTCCAGGTGAGCTCCAAGTTGGGACAGGTGTCTGTCACCACCTGGAACATCACCTGCCACCTCACACAGGTGTGACAATGACCCCAAACCCCCAGTGTCCCTCCAGGTGAGCTCCAAGTTGGGACAGGTGTCTGTCACCACCTGGAACATCACCTGCCACCTCACACAGGTGTGACACAGAAACCTGCCCAGAGCCACAGTGTCCCCCAGGTGTCCCCAGGTGTGCCACACCTGCTCTTGGTGTGCAACCAAAGCCCCCCAATCCCCAGGTACCTCCCAGGTGTGCCCAGGTGTAGCTCAGGTGCCTCCCCAGGTATATCCAAGCCCCCCCAGGTGTACCCCACGTGTACCCAGGTGTACTCCAGGTGTGCCCAGGTGTATCCAAGCCCCCCCAGGTGTGCCCAGGTATATCCCAGGTGTTCCCAAGTGTGTCCCAGGTGTGCCCAGGTGTAGCCAAGGTGTACCCCAGGTGTGCCCAGGTGACCCCAGGGGTATCCAAGCCCCCCCAGGTGTACCCCAGGTGTACTCCAGGTGTACCCAGGTGTTCCCAGGTGTTCCCAGGTGTACTCCAGGTGTGCCCAGGTGTATCCAAGCCCCCCAGGTGTACCCAGGTGTTCCCAGGTGTACTCCAGGTGTTCCCAGGTGTTATCCAAGCCCCCCAGGTGTACCCAGGTGTACTCCAGGTGTGCCCAGGTGTATCCAAGCCCCCCAGGTGTGCCCAGGTGTACTCCAGGTGTGCCCAGCTATCCCCAGGTGTTCCCAGGTGTACTCCAGGTGTTCCCAGGTGTACCCAGGTGTACTCCAGGTGTACCCAGGTGTACCCCAGGTGTACTCCAGGTGTACCCAGGTGTACCCAGGTGTTCCCAGGTGTACCCAGGTGTACCCAGGTGTACTCCAGGTGTTCCCAGGTGTACTCCAAGTGTTCCCAGGTGTACCCAGGTGTACTCCAGGTGTACCCAGGTGTACCCAGGTGTTCCCAGGTGTACCCAGGTGTACCCAGGTGTACTCCAGGTGTTCCCAGGTGTACTCCAAGTGTTCCCAGGTGTACCCAGGTGTACTCCAGGTGTACCCAGGTGTACCCCAGGTGTACTCCAGGTGTACCCAGGTGTACCCAGGTGTTCCCAGGTGTACCCAGGTGTACCCAGGTGTACTCCAGGTGTTCCCAGGTGTACTCCAAGTGTTCCCAGGTGTACCCAGGTGTACTCCAGGTGTACCCAGGTGTACCCCAGGTGTACTCCAGGTGTACCCAGGTGTACCCAGGTGTTCCCAGGTGTACCCAGGTGTACCCAGGTGTACTCCAGGTGTTCCCAGGTGTACTCCAAGTGTTCCCAGGTGTACCCAGGTGTACTCCAGGTGTACCCAGGTGTACCCCAGGTGTACTCCAGGTGTACCCAGGTGTACCCAGGTGTTCCCAGGTGTACCCAGGTGTACCCAGGTGTACTCCAGGTGTTCCCAGGTGTACTCCAAGTGTTCCCAGGTGTACCCAGGTGTACTCCAGGTGTACCCAGGTGTACCCCAGGTGTACTCCAGGTGTACCCAGGTGTACCCAGGTGTTCCCAGGTGTACCCAGGTGTACCCAGGTGTACTCCAGGTGTTCCCAGGTGTACTCCAAGTGTTCCCAGGTGTACCCAGGTGTACTCCAGGTGTACCCAGGTGTACCCCAGGTGTACTCCAGGTGTACCCAGGTGTACCCAGGTGTTCCCAGGTGTACCCAGGTGTACCCAGGTGTACTCCAGGTGTTCCCAGGTGTACTCCAAGTGTTCCCAGGTGTACCCAGGTGTACTCCAGGTGTACCCAGGTGTACCCCAGGTGTACTCCAGGTGTACCCAGGTGTACCCAGGTGTTCCCAGGTGTACCCAGGTGTACCCAGGTGTACTCCAGGTGTTCCCAGGTGTACTCCAAGTGTTCCCAGGTGTACCCAGGTGTACTCCAGGTGTACCCAGGTGTACCCCAGGTGTACTCCAGGTGTACCCAGGTGTACCCAGGTGTTCCCAGGTGTACCCAGGTGTACCCAGGTGTACTCCAGGTGTTCCCAGGTGTACTCCAAGTGTTCCCAGGTGTACCCAGGTGTACTCCAGGTGTACCCAGGTGTACCCCCGGTACATCACCTGGCACAGGTGTGACACAGGTGTGACAGTGACCCTAAACCCCCAGTGTCCCTCCAGGTGAGCTCCAAGTTGGGACAGGTGTCTGTCACCACCTGGAACATCACCTGCCACCTCACACAGGTGTGACACAGAAACCTGCCCAGAGCCACAGTGTCCCCCAGGTGTCCCCAGGTGTGCCACACCTGCTCTTGGTGTGCAACCAAAGCCCCCCAATCCCCAGGTACCTCCCAGGTGTGCCCAGGTGTATCTCAGGTGCCTCCCCAGGTATATCCAAGCCCCCCCAGGTGTACTCCAGGTGTACCCCAGGTGTATTCCAGGTGTACCCCAGGTGTACCCAGGTGTATCCAAGCCCCCCCAGGTGTGCCCAGGTATATCCCAGGTGTTCCCAGGTGTGCCCAGGTGTGCCCAGGTATATCCCAGGTGTTCCCAGGTGTGCCCAGGTGTACCCCAGGGGTATCCAAGCCCCCCCAGGTGTACCCCAGGTGTACTCCAGGTGTACCCAGGTGTTCCCAGGTGTTCCCAGGTGTACCCCAGGGCTATCCAAGCCCCCCCCAGGTGTGCCCAGGTATATCCCAGGTGTTCCCAAGTGTATCCCAGGTGTAGCCCAGGTGTACTCCAGGTGTGCCCAGGTGTATCCAAGCCCCCCCAGGTGTGCCCAGGTGTACTCCAGGTGTATCCCAGGTGTCCAAGTGTTCCCAGGTGTACCCAGGTGTACTCCAGGTGTACTCCAGGTGTACCCAAGCCCCCCAGGTGTGCGCAGGTGTGCCCCAGGGGTACCCAGGTGGTCCCAAGCCCCCCAGGTGTGCCCAGGTGTGCCAGGACGGTACCTGCGTGCCGCCGCCCTCGGTCCTGAACACATACTTGACGCCGGGGTCGGGGAAGGTGGCGGCCGATTGGATGCTGGCGATGGCCACGCTCGTGGGGTCCTCGCCCGTGGCCACCGAGCCTGGGGGGACACGGCGTTGGGGGGCACCCAGACCGGGGGGCATGGCATTGGGGGCACCCAGACCGGGGGGGCACGGCATTGGGGGCACCCAAACTGGGGGGACACGGCGTTGGGGGCACCCAAACTGGGGGGACACGGCATTGGGGGCACCCAGACTGGGGGGGGGGGGGCCCCCAGACCGGGGGGCCCGGGGGGGGGGCACCCAGACCGGGGGGCACGGCATTGGGGGCACCCAAACCAGGGGGACATGGCATTGGGGGCACCCAAACTGGAGAGGGGCACCCAAACCGGGGGGTCACGGCGTTGGGGGGCACCCAAACTGGGGGGGGCACTCAAACTGGGGAGGGGGAACCCCAAACTGATGAGGGGAAACCCCAGCTGGGGAAGGGAACCCCAAACTGAGGGGGGACACGGGATTGGGGGGCACACACCCGAAACTGGGGAGGGGGCACGGCATGAGGGGCACCCCAAATTGGGGTGGGGAGTGACACAGGATTGGGGGGGACACAAAACCTCCCCAAATTCCCCCTAAAGACCCCAAAACCTCCCCAAATCCCACCCAAAAAACTCCAAAACCTCCCCAAATTCCCCCTAAAGACCCCAAAACCTCCCCAAATCCCACCCAAAAAACTCCAAAACCTCCCCAAATTCCCCCTAAAGACCGGATTGGGGGGGACACAAAAAACAAAACCTCCCCAAATTGCCCAAAAAAACTCCAAAACCTCCCCAAATTTCCCCCAAAGACCCCAAAACCTCCCCAAATCCCACCCAAATAAACTCCAAAACCTCTCCAAATCCCCCCCAAACCCCAATTTTGGGGTCCCCCCTCACCTTCCTGGATCTGCACCGTCCCCTCCTCGGTCTCAGCTGCTTTTTGCTGCCTGGTGGGGGGAACAAAACAGTGAGGGGGGTCCCTGAGCCCCCCAAAACACCCAAACTCCAAATCTGGGATCCCCCAAATCGCCCACCCCGTGTGTGTCCCCCCCATGGGGCAGTTTTGGGGGTCTTGAGGCCGTTTTGGGGTCCCAGATCAGATTTGAGGGGGGATCTTCAGGCAGTTCTGGGGGGATCCCAGATGAGATCTGGAGATCCTGGGGAAGTTTGAGGGAGTCCCAGGTCAAAGTTTTGGGGTCCTGGGTCACATTTGGGGGGGTCCCAGGTCATCATGGGGACTTCCCAGAGCAGGTGTTGGGGTTCCAGAGCAGGTTTTGGGGTCCCAGGTTAGATTTTGGGGTCCCAGGTGGGTTTTGGGGTCCCAGAGCAGGTTTTGGAGTCTCAGGTGGGTTTTGGGGTCCCAGGTGGGTTTTGGGGTCCCAGGTTAGATTTAGGGGTCCCAGGCGGGTTTTGGGGTCCCAGGTTAGATTTTGGGGTCCCACTCACCCCTTCATGGCTCGGCTCCCTCGGGCATCAGCGGGGCGGGAGCGGAGCAGCCTGACGGCCTTCAGAGCCCTGCGGGGACAGCAGGTCAGGGACATGGGGACAGGGACACGGGGACACGGGGACATGGGGACATAGGGACAGCAGAGTCAGAGGTCAGGGACACGGGGACATGGGGACACGGGGACAGCAGGGTCAGGGACACAGGGACATGGGGACACGGGGACGTGGGGACAGCGGGTCAGGGACATGGGGACAGCAGGGACAGCAGGGACAGCGGGGTCCGGGATACGGGGACACGGGGACAGTGGGATCAAGGACACAGGGACACGGGGACACAGGGACATGAGGACACAGGGACACGGGGATAGCGGGGCAGGGATACGGGGACATGGGGACACGGGGACAGCAGGGTCAGGGACACAGGGACATGGGGACACGGGGACAGCAGGGTCAGGGACACAGGGACATGGGGACAGAGGGGTCAGAGACATAGGGACAGGGGGACAGCAGGGTCGGGGACACCAGAACACAGGGACAGTGGGGTCAGCAGGGACAGCGGGGTCAGGGATACGGGGACACGGGGACAGTGGGATCAAGGACACAGGGACACGGGGACACAGGGACATGAGGACACAGGGACACGGGGATAGCGGGGCAGGGATACGGGGACATGGGGACACGGGGACACGGGGACAGCAGGGACAGCAGGGTCAGGGATACAGGGACATGGGGACACGGGGACAGCAGGGTCAGGGACACAGGGACATGGGGACAGAGGGGTCAGAGACATAGGGACAGGGGGACAGCAGGGTCGGGGACACCAGAACACAGGGACAGTGGGGTCAGGGACAGCAGGACACAGGGACATTGGGACACAAGGGACATCGGGGCGAGGTCAGGGATGTTGGGAGACAGGGACACACAGATCCGGGGATGGGGACAGGGACACGGGGACAGGGACATGGGGACAGGGACAGGGTCAGGACAGGGACAGGGGTGGGGACAGCACAGGGACACAGGAATACAAGGATGGGGACAGGACAGGGATGGGGACAGGGACAGGGACATGGGGACACGCACACAGTGACAAGGGGGTCAGGGATGGGGATACAGGCTCAGGGACAGGGACATGGGGACAGGGACAAGGGATGGGGACAGGGACACAGAGGAGTCAGGGACAGGGACACAGGGATGGGGACAGGGACAAGGGATGGGGACATGGGGACAGGGACAAGGGATGGGGACATGGGGACAGGGACAAGGGATGGTGACAGGGGAGTCAGGGATAGGGACACAGGGACGAGGACAGGGACACAGGGACAGGACACCAGCCATCCTGACCAGACACTGGCCACCACCATGGGACACCGGCCACCACAGCAGGACAGTGACCACTGTGACAAGCCACCAGCCACCACGGGACAGCGGCCACCATGACGGGACACTGGTGACCACCATGGGACAGTGGCCACCATGACGGGACAGTGGCCACTGTGACCAGCCACCAGCGAGGGCCACCACAAGTGACCAGAGGCCACCACCTGTGGCCACAGCCACACCTCCAGGTGTCCCCTCACTGCCACCCCAGCGTGTCCCCAAAGCCACACACTTGTCCCCAAAGCCACCAGCCCTGCAGGGTGGCGCTCTGGGGTGGCACCGTAACCTCCGTAACCTCCGTAACCTCCCCCCTCAGTGTCCCCAGTGTCACCCCCCGAGAGGTGGCAGTGACACACCGGCCACCCCGGGGGAGGGGGGCTGTCCCTTGTCACCTCCCCCGGGAGGTGACAAGTTGGGGGTCACTGAGGAGGGGTGACAGATGGGGGACATGGATGAGGGGGTGACAGTGACAATGACACACTGGGAGGGACAAGAACCGGGGGGGACACGATGGGGGGGTGACAGTGACAGGGAGGGACACAAGGGGGGGGTGCTGACAAAACCGGAGGGTGGTGTCAGTGACAGAGTTGGGGGGGGTGACCCGGGATCGCGGTGCCGCCGTTACCGGCGGGGTTCGTCCCCCGGGGCCGCCCGGGCCCCCCCCGGTACCTCTCGGCCTCGGGCCCTGCGCGCCTTCGGCCCCTTGTCTCGCCATGGGCCCCGCACATGCGCACGGCGCCGCCGCGCCGCCATCTTGGGCGCGGGCGGAAGTTCCCCCCTCACGCGGCCCCGGCCCGGCTTCGCGCCGCCATCTTGGGCCGGGGCGCCGCGCCGCGCCGTTCCGCGCCGCCATCTTGGCGCCGGGCAGGGCCGCCCTCACGGCCCGGCGCCATCTTAGCGCGCGGCGCAGCGCGCGGCGCCATCTTAGACGGCGAAGGCGCGCGGCGCTTCCGCCGCCCCGCCGCCATCTTGGGTGAGGGCGGCGCCATGTTGGAAGAGGGCGGCGCTCGGTGAGGGTCGCGGTGGGGGCGTGGGGACAGGGCCGGGCGCTGCCCAGGGTGAGGGACCCCCGCCCGGCTCGCCGGTACCGGAGGGGTTTGGGGGATGCACCCGGAGGGCCCCGGCCGCCCCCGTGGTGAGGCCGCTGTGGGCGCCGCCATGTTGAGGCAAAGATGGCGGCGGTGTAAACAAAGGCCGGGCTTTGTGGGCGGCCTTGTGTCGCCTCAGTGTCCCCTCGGTGTCCTCCTGTCCCCGTGGGGCTGTGTCCTCGTGTTCCTGTGTGTCTGTGTGCCCAGGTGCCCACAGCCACGTGTTCTCCTGTCCCCGTGTCCCCATGGCCTCAGTGTCCCCAAATGACCTCAGGTCCCCGTATCCCAGTGTCCCCAAATGTCCCCAAATGACCTCGTGTCCCAATGTCTCCAAATGTCCCCGTCCCCATATCCCAATGTCCCAAAGTCAATGTTTCAATGTCCCCATATCTCTGTGTCCCCATGTCCCCTGCCCCCAAAGTTTCTAAATTTAAAAAGAAATTTTATTTTAAAAATTTAAAATAATAATAGTAGAAATAAAACAATAAAAAATAATTTAAAATAAATATTTAAAAAATTTAAAATTAAAATAACGTAGAAAAATTAAATTAATATTTAAAACATAAAATTAAATTTAAATTATAAAATAAAATAAAATAAAATAAAATAAAATCTATAAATAAACACCAACAACCCACCAGCATCTCTGACGCTGCAATTCTCACCTTGGTATTTTTATTATTATCATTTCACTCTCATTTTATCATTATTTATTTGCACTCTGCTCTGGGGGGGCCCTGCCCACGCTCAGCGCTCACCCCCCCCCAGGGCTGCCAGGGGGTCCCGGGGGGTCCTGGGGGGGTCCCGGGGGGATTTGAGGGCGTCCCAGGGTGATTTGGGGGGGTCCAAAGGGGATTTGGGGAGGTCCCAGGGGATCCCAGAGGGATCTGGGGGGGTCCCGGGGGGATCTGGGGGAGTCCCGGGGGTCCCGGGAGGGCGCGGGCAAAGTGGGGTTTGGGGGGCACCACGGGCACGGCCCGGGCCAGCAGCACCCGCCCCCCCAAAATGGGGAGGGGGCGGCGGGAGCTGCGCGAGGGGGCCGGGAGCGGCCCCAGGGATTTGGGGCGCCCGTCCCGGATCGGATTTGGGGGTCCCGGGGGGTCCTGGGATTCGGGGGGCTCAGCCAGCAGCGGGCCCAGGGATTTGGGGCGCCCGTCCCAGATCGGATTTGGGGGTCCCGGGGGGTCCTGGCATTTGGGGGATTCATCCCAGATCGGCTCCAGGGGTCTGGGGGTGTCCCAGAATTCGGGGGGCTCAGCCAGGATCGGCTTCAGGGATTTGGGGGGCTCATCCTGGATCAGCCCGGGGGGTTTGGGGCTCTCCGGGGATTTGGGGGGCTCTGAGATTCTGGGGGGCTCGTCCTGGATCAGCTCCAGGGGTCTGGGGAGCTCATCCCAAATCGGCTCCAGGAATTTTGGGGGCTCCAGGGGTCCAGGGAGCTGCAGGGATTTGGGGGGATCTGCGTGGATCAGCTCCGGGATTTTGGGGGACTCATCCCGGGTCAGCTCCGGGATTTTGGGGGGCTCATCCTGGATCAACTTTGGGGACCCATCCTGGATCAGCTCCGGGATTTTGGGGAGCTCATCCCGGGTCAGCTCCGGGATTTTGGGGGGCTCATCCTGGATCAACTTTGGGGACCCATCCTGGATCAGCTCCGAGGGCCTGGGGGTCTCCAGGTTTTTGGGGGGCTCATCCTGGGTCAGCTCCAGGTTTTTGGGGGCACCTCCAGGGGTCGGGGCAGGGGGAGAGGTCGGGGGGGTCCCGGGGGTGCCATCGGCCCCTTCTGGGACCACCCCGGGAGCAGAGCCCGGGGCTGGGGGCTCGGGGGGCTCCCGGGGGGGCTCTGCCAGGGGCAGGGCTGGAGGAGACCCCACTAAATCCCGGGGATCCCCCTCCCCTGGGGTGAGGGGCTGGGACCCAGCTCCGTCCCCTCCCCCATTCCCAGCAGGACCCCCGAGCCCTCCTCCCTCACCCCACACCCCCGTCCTGGGGCTGGGGTCTCCCTCTGCAGCCCCCTCCCCTCCACCCCCTTCCCCAGGGGGGTCCCGGGGGGGGTCCCCCAATCCTGGACCGTTCTTTTCCAGGGGTGTTTGGGCCAGAATCTCTGGGATTTCTGGGGTCTCCAGGACTTTTGGGGTCTCTGGGATCTCCAGGACATTTGGGATTTCTGGGATCCCTTGGGTCTCTGGGATCTCCAGGGCCTCCAGGACTTTTGGGATTTTTGGGGCCTCTGGGATCTCCAGGATCTCCAGGACTTTTGGGGTCCCTGGGATCTCCGGGATCTCTGGGATCTCTGGGATCTCCAGGGCTGTCCCCTCTCCCGGGGGTCCCTCGGGGGTCCCCAGCGGGCTGAGCTCGTCGTGGGCGCTCAGGAAGATTTCGTCGGGGTCGGAGTCGGGGTCGGAGGCGCCGGGGGCCAGGAAGAACATGTCCTGCTCCGTGCACTCCTCGATGGACAGGTAACTGTCCGGCTGCTCCGCCCAGCGCTCACCTGGCTGGGGGGACACGGGTGGGACCCCCAGGCACGGCCAGGACCCCACGGGTGGGTGTCACTGTGTCCCCCTTGCTCATTCCATCCCATTGACCCCAATGATCCCAGTGATCCCATCCCATCGATCCAATTGATGCCAATGATCCCATTGATCCCATCCCATTGATCCCATTGATCCCAATGATCCCATTGATTCCATCCCATTGATTCCATTGATCCCATTGATCCCAATGATCCCACTGATCCCATCCCATTGATCCTATTAATCCCATCCTATTGGTCCCATTGATCCCATTGATCCCATCCCATCCCATTGATCCCACTGATCCCATCCCATTGATCCCACTGATCCCATCGATCCCACCCCAATCCCATCCCACTGATCCCATCCCATCCCATCCCACTGATCCCATCCCACCCCATCCAGTACTGTCCATCCCATCCTGTCCCATCCCATCCCATCCCATTGATCCCATCCCATTAATCCCACCCCAATTTCATTAATCCCATCCCAATTTCATTAATCCCATCCCAATCCCACTGATCCCATCCCAATCCCACCCCGCCCCCTCC